TGACTCCGGTTTCCCTCTCTGACTTCGAGCCATAGCAGCTTGAACCGAAATGATTACAAACACATCTTCTTTTATTTCTCTGCTGAAATTGCCCTTACTTTTATCCCTAAATCTCATATATGTCCTTAAATTTTTTTTTTGGGGTTTTTTTCCATTCTTGATAATTAATTTGTATCACTAAAAAACAAAAATTTACTTTTAATTTATCAATTATCTTAATCATTCATATGACACTAATACTAAATTAAATCAATTTTTATTTTTTTATATAAATTAAAAGCTAAAAATATACTTGTGATACCTTTAATTTATACTTTAAAAATACCAAACTTTTTTAAAAAGAATTTTTCTAGTTTGAGGTGTCGAGTTAAAAACATATTATTTGAGTTTTTATAATTAATTTATAAAAAAACTCAAAAATTAATATCATTTCAATATTAATAACAAAGACTTGATTTTAATTGAGCCATTTATAAAATTAGAAGCAAATTTTTTTTCCTTTATAACAATTAATAAAAAAAAATAATTAAAACATTCTTGAAGACATAAATTAAAAAAATTTATTCTTTAAAACAAGTATTTATAGTTTTTGTATATTATTCCTATTTATAATGAGTACAAATTTACTTAGATATAAATTTTACATATCATATAGACTTAGCAAAATTGGACCAAATTTGAAAATCTGACCTAATCCATCCATTATGGGTAAGATCATGGATCCTATGTATTAATTTGAAATCCGAAATAATCTAAACTGAAATTATCCAAACTTAAATGGGTTGAATCATGGGTGAGTCGGATCACCGGAAATAACTTGAATTTTTTTATTCATTTTTATTAAATTATTTAAAAATTAATGTTAAATTTCTAATTTTCTAATTTTAAAAGTAAAAATAAATAAAATACTCAAATCCTAACCTCTCATCAATTTCACTTTCTCTCAACTTTTCCCCTTCTCCACTCTTACTCTCCCCTTTTTCATGTCAAGCTCTCTAACAAGGGAGTCTGTACTGTATCATACAGGTCGAGACGATCGGTACATACTAATTCTCTAGGTGAAACGAAACGGAATAAATTAGAATTTTATTTTGGTCAAAATTTAAAAATTTCAATTAAATTTTGATATATTGATCGAAATTTCATGTATTGGCTGATATATTGAAATTGGGTTTGATATATTACGTAAGAATTAAAAAAATAATAATAATAAAGGATTCCCAAACCAAAACGACGTCGTTTTGCCGTGGGGTGGCTTTTCTTTCCTTGGACCCTGCAATTTCAGATCGCAACCTGCAATCAGATCGCACGTGAAGATCTCTCCTCTGTTCTCCAGCATCCAGCCGCTGCTCTCTCTCCTTATGCTTCTTCATTAAACCCTGCAATTTTATTTTTTCTGCTGGTATGCATACATATCAAGTTTTGTAGGTGTAATTGCACCAAACCAGAAGTCTTTCTCCAGTCCACGCTTACGCTCCGAGATAACCTGCAAAGCCCCGAGGTAGAACTCGAGGTAGACACTCCGATACTTAAGTCAGCAATAATCGGGGCTACCTTTAAGGCGGAGATAAGAAAAGCTCAGGGTTGGTTTCAATTACCTTTTTGACGTGGCCCGGGGGGTATTTATAGGATCTAATGGGGAACCCACGTGGCATGCCAAGCAAGATAATCGGAGCCT